GTTCCCCTGTGGACCCTTACCGGCCACACCAATAGCTGTAGTACTTCTAGTTGCAGAGAAGTCTTGGAGAAGTCATTCTTTCTTATTTTACTTGTTTAAGTTTCTTTCCTTGAACGAGAGACACAGAAAGACGGGTGTCCCCACAGGGCTTCATGCTGCAATCCCCATCCAGCGTCAGCCACCCCAGATCGCGGGCATGTGCATGCTCACGTGTGCTCAGGGAGGTGTCCAGACCTGAACCCAGAGCCTTCCTGCATGAGGCATCCTCACAGGGCATTGTGTGACAGCTGTGCCACCCTCTGGCCGCACGAAGCAGTGCATTCCCGGTGGCCATGGGCTGTAGTTTATTTTATCTGCGCTCTTTTCACACTAACAGGTTTTTTCAGGTCCAACCTAGTACCGGCTGGACTCTGAGCCTTTAGTGAATTCCGTAAGTGTTTCATCCTCAGTCAGATAAGGTGGGTCAGGTGGGAGAGTCTGAGAGCCCTTGTGAGGGACGGGGCAGAGTCCCAAGGAAAACTCTGTGAATAAATAGGAGCTTTAAAAAGTCAGATAGTGGGACCAGCAGTTAATGTAATGGCTGGGTCGCTGGAGTCCCATGTAGTCAACCACGGTTCGAGTCCTGGATCTGGTGGCTTAAACTCACGCCGGGCGCGTGTGCATGCATGCGTGCGTGCGTGCCCAAGATCCCGAGAGGAGAATGGAGGAGAAGGGCTTGCGGCATGGCCATCCCCCCTGGGGGGGGGATTTCTCGCTTTCTGTCTCTCTCTCTCTGTCTCTGGCTTTCTGGCGAGCGCACGTGCCCTATAGCAAAAACCTCTCCAAAAAAAAAAAAAAAAGAAAGAGAAAAAAAAAGAGAGTGCAGCATCCTCCTGGCTCCTGGGAGTGGGGATGGCAGCCGTGTAGGGGTTGCCAGTTCCAGTAGAAAAACAATCCCGTACCGTGGTTATGGGAGAAAACGCAGTTGGACTGCTCGTGTGCTCTGTGGATTTGGGGGAATAAAACGGTCTGAGATTGCCGCAGATAACAGCCTCATTGTGATCCTCGCTGCGTAAAAGGGCGTTCACTGAACCGTTTCGCCTCCGCTTCTCTTCTAGGGTCAACGAGTGACACCAAGAAAAGGAGAACAGAAGCAAGCGCGGGCTCCTTCCTGCCCCACGCGGATGATAGCGCTAACAGGGGCAATTCCATAGTGTATCATTTGGGGCAGAAAATGGAGGTAATGAGTCGCGGGGGTGGGTTTTTTCTTCTCTCCATTTTCTGCACGGTCTTACTTCCTTGTGTTTTTTAAGAAGCGGGCCTTGACACGTCACCTTGAAATGTGCTTATAGTTCAGATGGCTTGGCGTCTCCAGTCCTGTATGGAGTTCGGGCTGCCCTTTCCAGCACGGTGGCACAGTGGTGCTCACTGAAACCCGAAGCACCTCACCCCTAGTTCGTAGGTGTGGGACTCCCAGGTTGTAGTCAGTGCGTGTGGGTTATTAAGAGGGTGCTGGCCACAGAGCAGCTCCCCGGGCCTCCTAATTGTAGGCTTGGCCTTCCCACCTCTGCCTAACAAAGATTAGAGAAGGCGAAGACACCCGCCGTGAATGATTTCGAGTTCTGCTGGTGACAAATACTCAGAAAAGAAGCGAGGTATCAGACGGTGTGTGCTGTGCCAAAACTGCGTGTAGGTCAAAGCGCAAACCATGGTGGGCACCGCACGGAAAAAGCAGGCTGTTGGGTTTTCTGGATTCCACTTAGAATTCCAGTAGGCATGGCCAGCGCCACCTGGCAATGACAGACCGAAGCCTAAACTTCCCTGATGACATCAGCCATTTCCGGTTTTCAGTTCTATGGCAGTGGCTTCTTAGAAGCTTAGACCCCCCATCCCAATGACGTCAAGTTCGCCCGTTGGCTTGGAAGGTTCAGACCTGTCTTCCATCAACACCATGATGTCGGCATGTAGTGAAGGTCACCGAGAACGTTGGGGGCCCCCCGAGCAGCAAGTCCCCCGCCAAACCTCCAGGACCAAATCGGATTGGCAGAAGGAACCAGGTAAGCATCCGTGAAATCTGGATGGGCTCAGTCTCAGAACATCTGGAGAGATTTCCCTGCTTCCTAAGGGAAGACCTTGCAAGCACTTGTAGTTTAGGATTATTATTATTGATTAATTAATTAATTAATTAATGTATTTATTTAAATTTCACCAGAGAGGGACAGAGTGAAAGCGAGAGAGAGGGAACGTGAGAAAGCAAGCCGCCAGACCTTGGGACTCGAACTGTGGTCAGCCATGTGGGAATCCAGCACCCTTAACCACCACGCCACCTGCTGGCCCCAGCACTGGTTAAACAGACATACGTAGAGGCCCGAATCCTTTTCAAGACTGGGTTTTTCATAGCGGGTGTCAGTTTCCTTTCCTGCAGAGTTTCCTGGACTGTGGTGTCAGCGTTGGTGAAAGTGCTCTGCTCCATTTTTCCTTCCACCGTTTGATTTGAGCAGTAGCTCTCTTCACATGATGGCCGAGGCCGGGGACTTGGCTGTGTGATGTGGTTCGTTCCCTTATTCACATGGCTGGTTAATTGGATTTTCAAAGCCGCCTCCTTGATTTTCTTTTTCTTTTTTTTTTTAAGTGTCTCAAAATGAGGTAGCAAATAAGTACTGTTTGTGCTGGGGCTGCCGTTCAGCTTGCCATCCTTGAAAAAGCACAGAGTTGGGCTCCAGAGAATTCCACTTCAGATGCTCTTTAGTCCCCTTGAATTTGCAGTGGGCCTGGGGTCAGGAGATGTGGGAGGGCTGGGATTGGGAAGGTTGAATGCTGCTCTAAAAGCTCGTCTCGTCATTGAGAACTACGACGGATTTATAATGTAAGGTGCAGAGGGAGAGAATGGGGAAGGTTTATTCTATCCAGGGAGCGCCATGTTAAATGATGAGTGGGTCAAGGAGGGAGGCAACGGGTGAATAATTCCTGTTTCTCCCCTGAGTCTTCTACGTCATAGGAATTGACTTCTTCGTGTTTGATTTTTGGTTAAATTGATGGAATGGAGTTATCCTAAGCCCTCAGAGTGCAGGTGGCTTCTGAGTGTGTCAAGGCCCTATTGAACCAGAAAGCGTATGTGCTGGGTGCTTGCGACTGAGTTATATTATGTGTTATTAATAATCTCACAATGACTGCCCCTTCACGGAATCTTCC